ACATCGCTTATCTACCTCGGGGAGTTGTTGGGAGAGTGGTAAGCAGCATAGAAAGCATCTAACATGGTGAGACCTCACCCTGCAGCTAGCGTGATTCTGATCAGCTGAAAAGCTGAAGTCCCAGCTGATCGTTAGCATCACTATGGACACCAATGATCTCCACCCTCCTATCAAAATGATTTTTACCCAAAAGAAAAGGCCTGATTTTATTATACCCTCAATGAATCATGCCTCTGTACTTTCGGTCAGTCCTGTGTCGATCACAATGTATTTATAACATGGAAAAGGATTCCTAAATACTCCTGATGTATTTCAAACCACAGATACTCCAAGCCTCAGTGTATTCACAAAAGGAAATTATTAGCGGATGAATGTGTATTTGATTTAAAGAAATACAGAAAAACAACATTTACTACATTTTTGAACTGTGACCCTACTATTGACCAATCAGAACATCAGAAGATCAAAATACATCAATATTTAAAAGATACCATGTATCAAAAAGCTAGGCAAGAAGAACACGGATCCCTGAGATCTTAATTCATTCTGGCTTCCTAGAAGAGTCCCAGCAAAACCAAATCAATCACTGTGTATTAAAAAACACATATTTCTATTAGGGAAGACAGATTCGGGCAAAGACACAGGCAACAAGGATAAGTCTTTTTCAGGAAGTTGTTCTGTTTTCCAAAGAGAGACCTTAGTTCTCACCACTATACAGTGCTGCCTTAAAAAAGGAAGTGGAGAGGTGGAAAATAACGCAAAAGAAAAAAAAAATGTAATCCTTTTCCTGTTAATTACCTGCAAATATATATTTTCTTTAGTTTCTTTTTCTTTGGCTACACAGACATAATGCTTATCTCCAATAAATGTGAAGAAATCCAATCAGACCTCTCTGTTTGTTTTAAATTTTCTAACAAATAAAAACTAAATGTAAAGTACACGGAGATAATAAGTGCTGTGATTCTAAACAGGGCTGGATTTTGTATGGAGTCCATCAAGTGTTATATTAAGGTGTGCCCCATGGAAAGCCAACCAAGGGTGACTGCCAAACTAAGCTATGGGAGGACAGTCACAGAGCTGCTGGGTGCCATGACAGAAGTCACAGTTTAGAAAAAGCACATCGGACTGCCCAGTCAACAGGATTATCCGGTATCACTTCACCTCTAAACCCTCTTCTGTTTCTTTTTGTCACAAAAACATGGGTCAGTATTGGACATGACAGCCACCCTGACAAGATGACACCATAGAGACGCCAGTAACCTAACTAAGCCAAAAAGTAATGCCAGTTTCACGTCCAACTCTAAGAACCGTATCTTTCTGCCAGTTCTGCCTAAAAGTTGAACTGATTTCCTTGAGCCTCAATATCCACACATGAGAAACAGAAATCATACTCTACTCTGCTTTACTGGATCCTAAAAATGGCAAGTAGCTAAGAAAAACTGAATGCAAAGCACCATGAGAAGAATATATTAGATACCTTGACCTGCTTTTTGGTCAGAATCTTGTAAAACTAGAATTACTACCTTGCTAATTCCATACATGCCACCTGGCCATGGAGCTGACTGATAAACAGTAGTGACAGCACAGCTGATCCACCTAAAGGTTTTAAAGTAGAAGCACATTTCGGGTCACAGTGTATTTTCATACCGTTTGAGTAACTACTTAAGAAAATCTGCTTCCGGGCATTATAAAAGTAGATATAAAAAATGAGCAATTACAACTTTTGGAACCTTAAAACTTCTTGAAATAGTCAGCTGCAGGTATAGAAACCAATACTGAAGCAATGATGCAAGAATTGAAAATGAGTGAACCCCGAAACTGGAGGAATCATTGCAAAGTCAGTTTCACCTGACGGGCCAAAACACAATACGGATTATTTTTATATGGTTCTGTCTGAGTTGTCTATCTCAGATTCTTAACTTCCAGATTCTATTTTTAAAATCACTTAACACTGTGTATTTCCAGTAGCCATCAAGGCAGATGCTGTCATTCCTGACACCCAAGATTGTCAGCAGCCTCGGTCTGTACACTAATGATCTCGGGCAACAATGCCTGTGCTCTTATCAAAGCGATCTTTATTCCAAAAGAAAAAGTCCAAGTTTTCTCTATGGAAATTCACTCTAAAACATCGCAAAGGAGCCGCTCTAAAATATTAACGCTGCTAATATTTCTTACTTCCTTTTAAGTTATCTGGTATACTAACCTGTAAAACCAAAAACTGTCAGGCATTATAAGATTTTTAGTTCTCTCCCAAGTCGCCAGTGCTCCCGTCTAGCACTGTCAAATAATGATAGCTGCTGTCATTATTTTTTATACAATAGCTGGCAGCAAATTGTACAGATACCCTTCATCTCAGAACAGTTACCAAAAACCCTAAACAAATGACTGGGACCTTGTAGTATGACTGACCACCTTCCTAAAGCCAAAATAAGCACGCTTATTTCATTTGACTGATATTTTATGGCCAGAATATTACATGAAATTCAAAGCTTTGTTTTATTTATTATACACTATTTAACAATAACACCCCCCCCCTTATACATAGATACCTCTTTCCTGCTACTCAGACTTTTATTTTCTCATGAAGGTTTTCACATTTACTTTTGGCTTTGCTACTTTGAACCAAAAAGTGTAATTCTGTGTTTGGAAGCATCAGCCCTCTAGGAAATAAATTTGAGCATTGAAAAATATTCCAAGAATAAATTATTTTCACTTAACGAAGTCAAACATGTGTGTAAAGGGATAAGAAAACCAGTGCTCTCAGACACAAATGATTTAACAGGTCTCCTGCCCACCAAAATTATGCCAAATCACAGAAAAACATCTGAGCGACTGATTCTAGATCTCTGTTCTAATTAACAGACAAGAGTTCCTCTCTACCTCCACTTGCGCTGGCAATCTAAAATGCTGATATTCTCCTAGATCTAGCAGAGGAAAAATGGGTATCTTCTCCATCTGACACCTAAGTGGGTAACCTAGATACTGTAAATAGAGGCTACATAAAGGATGCAACAGACAGCTCTGAAGTGAGAGCCAAAATATTTAACCTGCAACTCTTTGGAAAAGAACCTGAAAACATGTGCAGCTTAGCCAAAAACCGTACTAACATGGAATTGCCAAAGGCTAGAAAGTTAAAACACACACAGAAACTCTTTACCAAACCGAAGTTTATGGTTGTTGGGTGAGAAAAGTTCGAACGTGAAAAGCACAGTTCTTCTTTGTATAAATTAATCATGCCTACACTTTGCACTATTTATTTTAAAAGATGAGTGAGCTGCCTTACAAAAAACTAAGTGTTTACAAAAGTAGAATCCATTTAACAAATAAAGAGCCAATTAATTAGTTAATTGGTTCCTGCTGATATTCTGCTGGTGACCAGGGGATGACAATCAAGTCACTAATTATTAGGTATTTTCTACTCCCTATATCTACTGTTTCTAAACCCAATCATGAATTATTTAACACATAGAAACAATACATAAATCTATCTCAACTCCTTAGGAAATCACATGAAAAACTTTATGAGAAATAAAAAGAGGTCATCAAAGAACTAGTACCATTAAATATTAAAATATAAAAATTCTACTGCCTACATTGTTATAATAGCATAACTTTTAACAAATCAACAAGCAAAAAAAAAATGAATGCTACAAGATCATGATAAGAGTTTAGCACAATAAGGTAGTAGATATTCAGTCAGTAACTATTAGTTTTGCCTTTCTGCATGATAAAGTAATTTTAAAAACTGCTTCTGGGATGAAATTCTGTTCTCTCCTTTAATAAAAAGGAGGGAAATCTTTTAATAAAGTCAGTTCAAACAGTTCAATCATAATTTAAACAAATAGCTAAAGTTCTTTAAAATTAACGAATCACAAATACACTGAAGTGTAATCTATACTTCTGCTATAATTCACCAGTCTAATTACAAAGCTGACAGCTTTACAATAACTTAAGTTTTGAAAGCTCTAAGAGGAAGTGGAAAGAAAAAGTTCCCTCGATGATCAGAATTCACTTAAGAATATGCTTATAATTAAGTAGATGATTCTGTATCTTTATTAAATCTTCATAAAAGAAAACTGTGACTTTCCTTCATGTCACCAAAAATTGTAAAATTATATTTACATATAAATCACATATCTTTCTTGTATAAGGAAAAAACATATAACAAAAATATATGGAAACAAGATTACAAATATTTTTGAGTAGAAATAAGAGAACATTTGCATTTGATAACTAACCTGACATATAATTAAGAAAAGACACATTGTATTCTTAATAAAAGTATTTTGTCTTCTGTCACTGACAGCATGTAAGTTGCTTTCTGATCAAACTCATTGACTATACCAATGAACAACTCTTTATTAAAAACACAAGCAAAATGGTCTATTCCTATAGCCAAAAAAATCCTTCCAAATTTCCCCAGTTCTTCTCTGTGCATTCTAAAATAAAATGCTTCCAACTTTGTCAGAGAAATGGATGTAAATGAGTTCCATAATTTTTCAATTACACTTCACTCCAATGGTCTGAAGAAGAAACTGTCACATTTTTTTTAATGCCAGTAACATGACAATTCCACCCCTGATGGCTTAGCTTTGTTCCAAAGCAATATAAAATTACTTCATTTCTTTTTTCACGATGAAGAGTCCTTTGGAAGTGACATATTTTTGTATTTTTTATCCAACAACAACAACCACAACAACAACAACAACAAATCCCATCATAAACCTGGCAAGTCCAAACAATAACCAGCAAACCCTACCATTTCTTACCTGATACAGGTAAGCACCAGCTCCCAAAGGCCACCCTGGGATAGTTCAGACTAGAAATCAGGCTCATGTTTTATGACACTAAAATGAACAGGAATAAATCTGTGTCGTTCTTTCTTTAGCAAAATCTATAGCAATAGCTACACCACAACATGAGCAGACCCCACAGACCTAACAAATTCAAATCTGTCGCTAGAGACCCAGAAAAAAAAATATCATAAAAAGAAGACTTACTGCTTGTCATGTGACTTGGGGAGGCATGCTGCCCATTGGGTGTGCTTGAGGTGAGGTCAATGGCCATGTTGGAGTGCTCCCTCTCAGGTGAAAGCTCATTGTCACCTGCTTTGACAAAATAAAACCTTTCAGTGTCCATTCATTGTGACAAGAACTCTTAACCACTAAGATTCTTCCTTACATAGTCTGGAGTTTTTCAGTGCATTTTTTCACTATAAAAGAAGCTGTAGGAAACGTCTTCCAAAAAACAGATACTGAATGTATAAAATGACAAAAAACATAGTCAGCTCACAATAAATAAATTAACAAAAGTTTTTTACAACATGACTACAAGCAAAATAAGAGGAAAAGCAGCAGCTTAGGTCTAAAGAATCTTTTAGTTGAAAGAGTAAGTTTTGTTCCACATTAATTTAATTATTAAACATAAAGTATTTATCATGAGCAGTTCTGAAAATGCAGGCTATCAGAAAGATGCTTGAAAAGAGAGATTGCTTTAAAAAATATCAACTTAAAGAATCTAATTCTTTCACATTATGTGTCCGGCAAGAATTGGATTACAGAGTAGAAAACGTTCAGTACACACCATACTAACAGATATATTTAATCTGACCTACTCAAAACTTAAAAGAAATAGAAAACAATCAAGTAGAAGTGTTGCTAAGATATGACTGATTTAAATATCCTTAATTTAATAAGCAGCAAGTAAATACTGGTTTTTTACTTCACTTTTGTGCTATTATTTTCTCCAATTTAAAGATAAAACTAGAGCAGAAAGTAATAACATAGAATTCTTAACACGATCTATAATTCAGACATTAAAATACGGGGACTACAAAGGTAACTTTATTGCCAGGAACAAATTACTGGAAATGAATACTCACATGTTATATAGCCATCAATAGCCTCTGTTTCCATAGTCAAAGTGCAATGCTGCAAAACAAAACGTTAGACCCTTAACACAACGATTCCTTTTGGTCTCTGCCATTAAATTCTTAGCTTATTGGAAGCTCCAAGCAGTTAGTCCACGTTGTTGCTGCAACCTGTGCCCAAGAAACACACTACTGTGTACTGCATGTGCTCATTTGCAAGCCACTGAACTCTTTCTGCAAATGATCTGATTCCTGCTGGAGATAGGATAGGAAAGATAAGTGTACTGTGAGATGGGCTCCAGCGAGAAAGGAATGGCTTGTCTTAATCAAAATTGACTTGTTTTACTGGGGGGAAAAGTGGGGGGAAATTATACCTCCAATTTGTCACTTTTCAAGGGACTCAAGTATTTTACCATTCACTACTTCCCACAATCACACTGCAGTCTGAAGGTTTCCCCAGTATACAGACAGCTCTATTCACAATTGTTGCAAGTTGGTTCATCATGTTGGGGGGGGGGGACACAAACAAACACAAGCAAACAAAACAACTTCTCGCCCAACTGCATTTAGAGGACTTGTGCAGCACGGTTAGCCAACTCTCCAACTTGTATTGACATTTTAGCCTACCCCAAGGTTCTGGGTAAGCACCTGTTCAGTGTAACCTTAATTTCCTGCCAGCCCCATGGTTGGATACAAATGCCAAGCCTACTTAATACAGTCCGATTCTGAAAATTTCAACTAGGTTCAGCTGTGCAGGGAGGAATCACTTTTTTTAAAGTTTGGGGCATTTTTCTTAGGCACCAATGCCACAAACCAGAAACTTAGCACACAGAAATAAAAGCAGAGCGGGAGGAGATGACACCCCCTAGCTTTGATTCACATAATGAAAAGATCAATAGCCTAACTGTATGCTTTGAAGGAAAAAGTTTAAGAACTGACAAGTGCTGAAGAGATTTTTTTGCTTATTTTTTTTCCCCTTTGGCCCTGGTCCTTTTTGCCTTTAGTTTCAAAACTCTCACAGCACCAGCAGCTAAATTATTCACAATGAGCCATTTCTGTATTGATCGCCAAGTATATTTAGCCTGGGCTCCTGGAATTTCTCCATTACTTACTGGAAAACAGGCAGCTCACTTCTTGTCTCCAAAACCACTTCCCTTCGCCCTCCCCTCCCCTTTCACCACCATCCTCCCTAGCTCCCACCCCCCCAAAAAACTTTTCTTTCTTTCTTTATGGAATAATCAGATCAAATTCCCACCTCAGTCACTACACAGCACTTATATTTCAACCTGCTGCACTGTTATCAAATTCTTTCGAATTATGATTACATAAGGCTTTAAAGAAAGGGATCCATAAAGTTTCAAAGGAGAGCAGTTTCCTGGGGTATTTTACAAATGAGTTTATCTCTTTAAAAATGTACACATTCAACATATACATATTAAAAAGGAAAAGAACCGTCAGGGAGAAGCGAAAGTAGCCAGCTCCATCAATGAAATGGTTATTAACCCTCGGAGAAGGAAAGGAAGAAAAAAGAGAAAGAGAAACGAAATGTACATACAAAAGAAATTGTCCTTTGATTAAAAAAGATTCATCACCATTTCCAGCTCTGTCGGGAGATCTCAGCTTCTTCTAACCCCTCAAAGAGGGGGTGACAATGTCGGGCTGAAGATAAACGGAGAGAGAAAGAAAGAAGTTTTTTGTGTCCCCTTCTCTCTTTCCCTCCCTGGCTCTCTTCAAGCCAAGCCCCCTGCAGAGTTCAAGGCGAGGAGGAAGGAAAAGCACTTTACAGGTGGGTCATTCCAAGCTCCCAAATCCAGCAAACAGATCGGCTGATAAACAAAACCAAGAAATGAGAGAGAAGGAACACCCCCCTTCTCCTCCTCCTCCTCCTCCTCCTCCTTCCTCCCCTCCCCCTCGCTCCTTTGGGATGGTCTAGTAGGAAAAGTCACTCAGGAATGGCACCACGTACTTTCAGGAAAGAGGAAAAAAGAGAGCGAGGGAGGGAGAGAGAGGGAGAGAGGTCAGTCAGTGCTACAGCAATGCGATTAACAAGGAGAGAAAAACTTGATCCACCGGTTCCTTAAGAATCGACCAAAAGCTAAGACAAGAAAACTGAAAGAAGAAAGAGGGGGCATAAGAGGGGAGGGACACTCAGGCAGAACCCAGCAAGGAACCTAGGCCAACTTCACAGAACTGTTTTTAGCCTTTGGCGGAAAAAAAAAGAAAGAAAAAGAAATTTAAAAAAGGAAAAAAATTAAATCCTAGTTCCATCTCCCTCACCCATACTAGAACCTGTCAAAGTGATTTAACTGCTGCCTGTTTTACGTGTGTCATACCAGGTTTTTTTTTTTTTTTTGTCTTTGTTTTTTCGCTTTTTCAATCCCAACAGGCTCTTGTATATTACCTTCTATCTGGACAGCTGCAATTTATTCCAGGCTATCCAATCTTTCTTCTTGGAATTCAGGTTAAAACAAAGCAAAACAAGTCCAAATCCATGACAGCTATACAGATGAGAACTGATTAATCGATTAACATCCCAGAAACAGATTGCGAGGAGGGGACCATAAATTAAGGCAGAGGACATCATCTCCGACCCTATTCCCTAAGCGTCCTTTACAGAAATCGTTCCTCTAATCATGACCACAATCCCCCCTCCCAAAGAAAAACCCCTCTATCGTCATTATTCCTGGTTAACAGCAACAAGTCATCCGATCACATCACAGTGCCCCCACGAGATGCTATATAATCACCCTTAACTTTGCAAACACTCCCCCCTTTGCAAGCCGTACACATTTTTATAGATCATCTATGAATCAGAAGACAAATACAACAAGAGCTGTTCTTCCCCACGCCAAAGCCAAGCGGAGATTTACCTCAGCAGTGCGTGCAGTAAAACAATCCCATCACCCTTTTGTTTGTGTTTACTGTTAGTGTGTCCTCTCTCTTTCTTTCCTGTGCCTAACGTGTGTTTGTGCACTGCAGTTGGTGGTGGAAACTAAGGCAGTGGATCTGGAGCTAAGGGTAATCCTGTTTTTACTTCCTCCATCTTCAGCGAGGAGCAGGGTTAGCCCGGGACAGCTGGTCAAACCCCGAGAAACCGATCCGGCGGAGCCCGAGCACATCTCCCCGCCGGCCGGGCTCGCGCAGACGCCCGCGGGCGGAGGGCGGAGGGCGGAGGGCGGAGGGCGGAGGGCGGAGGGCTGGCGGCGGCGGCGGCAGTGGCGGCGGCGGCGGCGGCGGCGGGCCCGGGGCGCGGGCGTGCGGCCGTGCGTGCGTGCGTGCGCGCGGGCGGTGGTGCGTGCGTGCGTGCGGGGCCCGAGCGCTGGTGCGAGTGTGAGCGTGTGAGTGCGTGCGTGTTTGTGTGTGTGTGTGTGTGTGTGTGTGTGTGTGTGTGTGTGTGTGTGTATGTGTGTGTGTGTGCCCTCGCCGGGTGCGCGTGTCTGCGCGCTCAGCCGCTCGCTCGGCGCGCTCGGCAATCGATTACAGGACAAGTGCTGCCCCGGCGGCTCCGCGACGCGCGCACACTTTGGCGCCCCCCGCGCGCTCTTTGGCGCCCCCTCCTCTCCCCGCGCGCCGCCCCGGACGGCGACCCCGCCCCAGCGCGGGGGAGGGGGGGCAGCGGCCGGCTCCCGCTCGGGCTCCCGCTCGGGCTCCCGCTCCCCTCCAGCGCTCTCGGCCGCCCCGGCCCGCGCTCCCGAGTCAGAGCCCGGCTCACGTTTTCCGCCGGCTGAGAAGGAGGACTCCGCACGGTGAAGGGAGCTGCATTTCGGCCGCGGGAAGTTTTCTTTCCAGCCGGGCCGGGCCGCGCAACCACCCGCTGGCGGCCGCACCGCCCCTGGCCGCGCGGAGCCCACAGGGCCGCGTCCGACGCTGCGAGGTGTAGGTGTGCGGGGGCTGTGCGGAAAATGCTTTCCCGTGCAAGTTTAAAATTAGAGTGCGTGCTCGCCGGGCCGCCTCCCGGACCCGGCTGGGCTGGAGCCGCCCCCAGGGCAGGGGCGCGGGGCCCGGGCTCCCGTGGGTGCGGGCGGCGCTGGGAAGCGAGGAGTCGAGAACGTGTCTGGTCAAAGGGAAGAAAGACGGAGGGAGCTGCAGATACCGCACCGCACTGTCTGGGCGGCTTGAACTTGGGAAGCTCGGGAGTGATCGGGACCGGCGCTGCCCAGGAAGCGGTCCCTGGGTCGGGAAGAGAATCGGGCTCGGAGGGGCACTGTGTTCCTCTGCTCTTCACGGACCCTAGAAAGGGTTCCAGAGGGCTTTTGTTTTGTTTTGTTTCTGTTTTTTTTTTTTTCCTACTGAGGAAAGTGGAATGACATCTTGAAAACCGAATTATCAACTATATTTTTAAGCACAACTCTGTACGTCCGGGTGCTTTGGGGTAATTTCTTTAGCTTTTGGTGTGAGGAAAGCAATCATCGTGATATACACCAATAAGGGATGTGATATAACGTGTATACTACTATGCTGTAAGTTTAAACTGAGTTTTTAAAAGTGAATGCCATGCGTTATATTTATTAAACACTTGTATACCTGCTGGCTCGGTTTTATTTTTTAACTACGGAAAATGACAGTGCTAGACAGCAAAGGAACTTAACCCAGTTTGACTGGACAGAAATCATTTGGGCCAAAGCTTGTAACAATTGTGATGCTTTTTTTTTTTTTTTTTTTTTTTTTTTTTTTTTAAGTTAGAGTTTCTGTAAGTGATATATTGGTAAGACGAATTTCTTAACTTGCTGGTTATCTGAATAAGTTAATTTTCCTGACGTAATATTTTAGAGACAACCTACAAATCATCCCAACAGGCAGCAAAGCTTTATAACTTAAATTACCTGAAAACAGTGGTATGTTGTTCATAATACGTAAATTGCCAATATATAAAGAATAACAATGTCCCAAAACTTCCTAAGAACTAAGTTTATGTGTTACAGTCTTTGCAAGTTTATGGAGGTCCTTAGAAAATAGGAAGTGCAGCATACTCAAGATGAAATATCGTCAAGCTTTAAACACTGAGTTATTTGGTACAAGAGGAGCCGCTGTGCAATTTTAAGAACTGATCCTCAAACTCAAAGGCTACCATAGCTGACACAGACCTTGACCCGGGCTGACAAGAATTTAATTTAGTTCCCTAGAATCCAATCCATTGGTTCTCCAATCACTAGAGGCACACTTTCTCCCTCTAGTGGTTAAACCTTCAGACGGTTTATGTTTGGTCACCCTGTCTCACCCGGAGTGAAACATTGGGGCCCAGAAGTGATGGGTCCTGGATTTTAAAGTAACCCAGAGCTCATGACACACTATGAGAGTTAGGCATTGTGGGACACATTTCCTTGCATGTTACTTTCTGATTTCCCAGCTCATCTGGTGAAGTCAAAGATTGTGGTCATATACTAAAATTGGAGTTCTGTTTCATGCCTCTGGAGTCTCGTCTTGGCCCTGAGACTCACAATGAAATTGATTCATGGGAAGAAAAGTAAACTAGTAGTTTACTGTGTTCAGAATTTCACTCGACTATGTTTGATAGTATCTGGAAGATGCATTTGTGTCCTGTGCTGTAACTACACTGCTCACATTTTGTTAACATAGATACACTGTACGTAGAACTATACGGCCAGAGAAGCGCAGTACTCTATCGGCTGCTGTATCCAGGTGGAGAGTTAAAATATCACTTTAGAAAGTAGGTGACAGGTGGGAAGAAAACATACCCCACCTTGCCATCCTTCATGCCATCCCAGCCTACAGAAATCGCTCCTTCCAACCACCACCTCCTGCGAATCACCACCTCCTTAGCTCCTTCAACTGTTTCCTTCAGCACAATTTATAAATGCTTGATGGACTGAGTTTTAAAAATCTGTCTTCCCCACTAGAATATGAGCTTTTTAAGGGCAAGGACTATGTCTGATCTGTTAATCATTGTCTCAGTGCTAACACAGTGTTTGCTGTAAGTTGGTAGTGAATATTTCTTGAAGGAGTGAATATGGAGGGAATTACATGCCCACTTTTCCTATTCAGGAAATCTGTCGGTGATATGTTCTGATTCCACAAACATGAACAGATCTTGGCTTGTAAGTTATGTTACGTGTATTCCTGACAAGTCAACTCTGGCTTACGGTCCACATAAAGAATGTGAACTTCTTTGTAGCTATGAAGTAAAATACACAAACATAAGTTGCAAAAGTGGGTAAAATTATAGAGAAAATGAAATTTTGATTAGAATACTTATGACTTGTTTCATAAGCAAATCATTTCATCTCACTTCCTGACATTTTAAGAGCCAGAGTGATGATCAAGGAATGCAACGTTTAATTTTATAATCATGAAATGTAACCAGCAAGAGAAAAATGTACCAGGCAGTGTAGCTAAAAGGTACTTGATGGATTATTGGTTTTGTTTTCTTTGGATGGTTTGCATTAACTCTTTTAGATTTGAAAGCAATTCCCTTTAAAGGAATCTGGGTAAAATCTCATTTTTGTTTGCTCAAGCAGTTAACTCCATGTTTTTGAGTTTTGGTTGTGGAGAGATTTAGAAAATTGCAATTCTCTCCTAATATCAAAGAACAAATTTTTGGAAGCTAGTTGTGTATTTTGTTTCATTTGGATGGCTTTTTAGTGCTAGCTATAGAGCATACTTACACCGAGTAGGTGCCCTACAACAACTGGAATGTCTGAAACAGTCACCATTAACAAGCATTTGTACACACAGTGTTTTAATAACTTAATTTTTGTCAGGTGGTGGTGTTCTTGTCTTTGAAGTAGCGTTATCTTTTTAAGTAGAAAAGGAAACTATGCTTTTATTTTCTGCTATCAACTTAGATTGGTACTAAAGAATCGAGGAAGCCGAAAATAGAACCATAGTTTCAAAATAAAACATTCTGAAGATCCAAATCCATTTCATAAGTGAGTATATGAGTATGTCCCAGCTTGGCCTCCCTGAGTACACTGATACTCCATGATGTCTTTCTGGCTGGCAAGTGAATCCTACATGGTGAAAATTTTCTGATTCTACTGATAATGAACAATACCTTCTTTTAACAATCTCTTAGTTTCCCTTTCCAAATAGAGGTATGGCTCTCCAAATATTCATGAACCTATAAATTTAACATTATGACCTACATTCACACTTTGATAGGATAATACCATATTTCTTTTAGAGAACATGTTTTGGTGTAGAGCAGATAATAAACTGACTATATCCAGATGAGAATTAATCAGAGGAGAAGGAGGAGGTCAAAAGGGTTGAGGACCACAAAGGTTTCAGAATAAAAGTGTCAGCACATACTTTTTGACTGTGGCATTGAAGTTCGACATAGTTGCTTTTAAAATGAAAATGTGTATAACGTTTGAGGAAACTAGTTCCATTCCAACAGAAATGGAACTTTAGCTGGATCAAGTTGTGATGTTCAAAAGCCCTGTCTAAAAATCAATTATGAAGAAAGTACTAGGAAACTAAAATTTAAACACACACACACAAAAAAATACTGAAATTATTAGAATCTCCAGTAATGTTTTACTTCAACAAAAGAAACAGGTGTTCAAATTTGTGAAAGCATAGTTTATGGACAGAGGATAATAATAAATGAGCCATCGTTCAGTGAGTGTTGATAAGGATTAAAACCACCCTTTATGACCCAGATATTGTTAGCAACTAAAGGCAAGAGATTAAGAAACTTATTTTGCTGGAGAAAAGGAAAACCAAAGTGATCCTTTGACTTTGGAATAGTAGGATGAAACAGGGCATATTAAGATGCTTATACCATCTTAATATCACTGAGTAAAAACCAACAGTGAAAAAGGATACAGTCAAGGTATAACCAGAAAGGTTGGATTCTATAAATGGATCCATGCTCTGCAGAGTGAGGACAAGCTGCTCACAA